ATTATGGGAAAATTCATTCATTCCAGCTAGCAGCAAAATAGCTATGGTTGAAAGCTAAAAAAAAGTTGTACAAATGTTAATTCTACCAAGCAGATGATTGCACATAACTATACTCAGAATTAACAGCAAAAGAACGAATCAGGCGAGAAAATGAAAGAATATGAAAAACATTCTCATCGAGTGCAAAGTCGAACATAATAGATTAAGGGTAGAACTGAAATTAAGGCCTGACTGAAGCTATAAAATTAGTGAGAATTCATGTTTGACTTAGATTCTTTCCATTTGGATTAATTTTATTAGGACATCTTGCTGCAAATTTTTAGTTGTGTTGAAGAATTAGCTTGAACGTAATGCTAAGTTTTCAATCAAGTCGATGATAAACGATAACATCCGTTTTGTTAAAACTTATGCCATTATCACCTAGGTGAAGTTTAGAAGCTATTTAAATAATAGAATCAAGGTTATATTCCTGGTAGATTATTCAAATTCCCGACTTTTCCGGGTTTTCCTGATGAAAATAAAATCCCTACTTTTTCCCGATTTGCTGGTTTACGTGCCACCCTGGTTGACCCAATTTTGAAAAATTTACGATCAAAATAAAACCGGACAATGCCGCCAAAAACTTAAAGGAACCATATAACAAATTCGGATTGATCCTTATGCCACATGGGCTATACAAGATATAGTGAGATCTCGATTTTGACAACACGTCACTATGGTTTTTAATCTAATGATACACAATACATCCTATTCAAGATGTCTTATTCTTGTAGGCAATTAGAATCGGTAGCGCTGCCCAACGTGCGGCTCACGGGCCGGACGTGGTCTCTGGATCTCAGCGCTGACATAATTCTAGTCCAATTTTATTCGTCATTATGAATTTTAGCGTAGAATGAATGAGAAATAATTTAGAATGTCGAACGAATGTTGATCGAGATCTCACTGTACTGGAATCTGGGCTCGCCGATTTGCACGAGCACAGTTCTGCTGTTCTTTCAGATAAGATGCTTTAATACTATATTGATAACCCTATTGATGAAGAGATAAATTATTCAATAATGTTTGTAAACATACAAACAGTGATGCAAAATATCATGACACTCACTCGACACTCGGCAACGCATCAACCGACTATCGCTAACGGAACGTTTTGTCACGCAGTGATAGGCAGAGCCATGGCAAACAACAATCACCAGTAATGGTCGCTGCTCACGGGTAAAACGTAACACTCGCTGCTGATGATGGGCCTTATTACGAGTGTCACTACACAATGATAAGGAAGTGATACTCATAATAAGAGCCGTGATTGCCGTACAAATCAAATGGGAATCACTTCACCGTGACGACAAGTGACAAGTTTTCACCGTGAAGTGACATCCGTAATAAGCCCCGATGTAAAGCACAACGAAAACAGTGAAGACTTCTGCAGTACGATGATGAGAAAAAGCGAAACGACAGAAGAGAATGCAAACAATGCCAACGAATTCCAAGTTCGTCTCGGCACGCACGACAAAGCTGGCAAAATTCAACGGAAGCTGTTGGACTCACTCACATAAGCAAGCAAAGCAGCAACTGGTTCAAAACGAGCACAGATGAGTGTCGTGATTGTCGGGAATGACCATATCGGTGATAGATCACCACCGAAGACGACATTCACCAGTAGCTTTTTACTTCTTTCGTCAACCTGATGGATGGTTATTAGAGTGATGCAAAATTTGAAATTTTCGCTCCACAATACTTAAACGAATCCAAATCGGATCCTGACTAACCTCTCAAAATTTGAACCCATTTAGTGAGAAACTGAGATGGCACAAACCATTTGAAGTTTGTATGGGAATTACTATGGTGAAACCAAGATTTTTGTTCATGTTTATCTAATAATTCACCATATCGGTCTGCCTCAAAAGCTTTCAACTGTAGGAAATTTTTTCAGCTACAACTTTGCTGAAGACCACTTTTTGATTAAATGCAAGGATCGAAAGTTATCAATGGTTCAATGCGCTGATGTCTTATTATCATGCTTAATCAACTGCTCAGCAGGCAATATTGGTGTTTCTGGGGCGTAGAATAGGACACAAAAATCATGGCTACTATGTCACACTGCAAAATACAGTGTTGCCTACAGAGCAGCTGCTTGATCATGTCATAAGTTTATCAATCTCTTAAATAATTAATAACTTTTTCCTGCCTCGTTTTACATAGAAACGATTTTGAACAAAGTTGTAGCTGAGAAAATTTTATATAAGAATGGCTATCGAACTGTTTCATAGCTCAAATATGGAAAAAGACTAGAAGGCATTGAACAAAAAGTTGAGATTTCCCATAGTAATTTACATGATAACTTCAAATGGCTTGTGCGAAGTCTGTTTCTAACCAAATGAGTTGTAACTTTGGGAGGCTAATCAGGACCTGACTTGAAACCATTTAAGCACTATGGAGCGAAAAAGTCAAATTTTGCATCAGTCTAATGGTTATGGAAAGTGCTTCGACAAGCACGTTGATAGGAATGTATCAAGCTTTACAACCATCAGCTGTTTGACGATCGTGATTGTGATAGGTCGCAACTCTGCATACAAAAACCTTTATTGGATCCTACAAAAACCAAGGTCTATTGGTAATGCCTTATTTCGAATTCCTTTTCAATGGGAATCCTTAAACGTGAAACTCAAGGCCTTTATAGAAATATGTTCAAGCCTTCGTAAGTTGCTAAAAGGCTTCAAATTCTTCTGTCCTTAGGCCGATATGCTTCCTGAAAAGCCATAAATATTTGGAAGAAGTCTTCATCGTCTCGATTTACGTCTTTCAATCAAAACGACATTTGATAGGCAGGATTAGAGGTTTTGAAGCATTCTTCAAACTTGAATAAAATTAATCTTGTTACTTGGGATCACTTGTAATTCCGAATGCCAATTCCTTAATGGAACTTTGACGGGTCATCTAGAAATCAAAGACGATTTTAGAAGTTGGAAAACTGTTAGAGAACATCCCAGTTATCACGTTCGTTCCGTTCCAATCAGGCCAAGGCCTTGATGTCCTCTGCTGTCCAACAAATTCGTCTCCACTCTACTCGATCCATGGCCAAACGTCGCCAGCCTCGTAGTCTGCGAAGGGTCCGCAGGTCGCCTTCTACTTGGTCGATCCACCTTGCCCGCTGCGCGCCTCTTCTTCGTGTTATCACCTTTAAGATAAATTTGAATAGCTTCCAGCAGAAATTTACCCAACTGCTAGATTGCCCATGAAAGCATAACAATCACATCTTTGCTTGAGTTCCTATACAAATGCATTTATTGGTAGTAGGACACTGCAGCATTTTATTCAAGTATATTGATATTGATGCAAAGGTTGCGTTCCAATTTAGGGATTCGCACTAAACTATGACAGATGGAAATTTACAAAATGACAGACGAGGATCTAATTTAGTTTGACTCCCTCGAATCCTGTATACGGAAATCGGCCACGCACACAATCACTTCCTCCTCGACAGCGTGAATTTATCCACCTATGATGTGATTTGACCCTTCTTACAAATATAAATTAGACTCTGGCCAATGCCTGGATACTCAATATGGCCGCCAAAGACCTTATACTTGAAATCTTACGAGGCATACGTAGCGTGCGAGGGTGGCCAACGTGATCCTAGTCACTCAGTATGGAGCATGTTCTGGCCATATCTCCGGCACCAGAGTGGACCGATTTCGATATTCCCAGAGCTTTCCTGAAATTTTTCTCTGAAATACCTTGGTATTATCTCTAGAATGCCTTCTAAATGCTCCTCGAAATTCTCTGGCAAAATTAATCAAAGTTCTCTTGCAGTTTGGATTTAGATTGAATGATATTTCTAGTCACATTGCTTGTTCATCGTGTGTTGTGTGACGCTTTCCGTCGTCGTTGCCCTCATCTCGGTCATAAATAATGTAGTATGAGGAGCTCGGTGGCCTTAGAGCGACCGTTTTTGCTTACTGAGCAGACAATTTTGGGTTTCTTAAACTTAAATTTAGCATACCAAAATAAAACCTGCTGCACCCAACTCTTTTAGCCAAGATCGGTGCAGAGGATTTATCGGCTTCCAACAAAGCGAGTATCACGTCAACATATTCCTACCTATTCATAATTGACCTGCACTCAGAACCGAATATATTCAAACCGATGAAACACTTACCATGCTCAAGCTTCCGAATCTGCATCAGTCTTATCTCATTCAAAAGTGTGTTCATCGTTCGTGATGTTTTTTTGGACAGAGACAGATGTTCCCCTTCGTTCTGCGCCATTATGTGGTACCTACAATTAAAAGTCTAAATCCCGAAATATACTTGTATCAAGATTCCCTAAAATGTATTCTCACAACATGTTCTTTGTATCGGTTGCATTATTTTATTCCTACAGTGTGTGACTCTCGTTTTGTTTCAGTGTTTTAGATGGGATTTTTTTTTCTTCTTCTAATGAAATCAAGGCAAATATGAAAACGACACAGGTCCACAAATGCAAAAAGAAAAACCTATCTTTCTTAATTGCTTCAAATAGAGAGCATGGGCGTGTAATTGAACTTAAAATTGATTAAACTTGAAAACGTCCAGGCACGGCAGTACTCAATAGAATGCATCGGTGTGGAAACTATGGTCTCGGCTGTGTGAAGCAATAGGACATCGATATGAGCGAATGGCTAACAGCCTTTTGATTTTTGGTTTCTACCTTTCTCGCAAAATTATACATTTGGAAAAGTTCGTCTAAATAAAGGTTCGAAAATGTACATGCATGCCCAAGAGAGAAACGGGGTCTGTGTTGCTCACTACCTTAAACTGTGTTCCATTTAAGCATTTATTTTCTTAATTTCCACCCACGAATACAGGGAATCTCGATTCACCCACCGCTTCGGTTGAGTGCGACATCCTTCAGCGAAATTATTTAAAGTATAAGTACGGTAGAATAAGTCGCATGAGAATCCACAGGACTGGCGGTAAAATCGAGAGCTCCCTGTATACGCTGGTTTAGTTTTGATCATATTTTTTGTTTCATTGTAGGGGTTTACTTCCTTATGCGGAATCTTAAATAACAACAAGCCTAAAATTCTTGGTTTTCAGTCACAATCGCACAGCACTTACTCCGTGTTACGCACAAATGTCAGCTCTTTATCCTGATAGTCTACGTAAGCCGTTACAAAATGTTACCTCCCTAATTACCTTTAACAGATATATAAACTTTATTTTCAAAGTTTGATTCTTTTACTTTTTATACAGAATTTACTGTAATGCGTCCAAGTCGTAAAATCCAACTATACTTCCTATATAGCCAATGGGTTTGTGTGTTTTCTTCTTCGTTTGTTTGTTTTGAAAAAAAAAAACTCTCGCTGATTAAATCATGCACGGGTGTCTCTTCTTCGCTCATCCGTCGTCGCATTTTGCTAAATTATTTATCTAACCACTAAAATAGCAAATTAAATTACTTTATCCTCATTTTTCTCTGTTTTAGTATAAATTGATTTACCTCCTCAAACGCCTATCGTATTATATAGAACCTATCAGTTAATGAGTGATTTTTCGCCTTTTTGTTGTCTCCCTTAGTAGCTTAGTAGATCGTTACTAGTTATAATAGGTTGTTTTCAGATAAATTACTATTTAATTGTCACTCGAATCGAACGCGTTTGGTCCGAACACACGGAGGTCATCTGTTCATCATCGTCCGCATCCCATCATCATCCGCCGCTGCTACCCCCGCGATGTTTCATTACTCAAATCAAAATTTTGATACTCTGTTTCGATCCATCTCTGAGTGTGAGTGTCAGTGTCAGTTGGTTGACAATTGAAGTGAAATTTTGATCATACGGTTGTTGCTATGCCGAAACAGTTTCTCGGTGCATATTCTCCATACTTGAGAATATGACTGGTTTCCGTCCGGTGACTTTTTCAGTCGATGACAACCACTGCTTTAGGTATTCGAAAAAAAAATGGAACAATTTGGAAGGAAGAGTTGTTTAAAACTTTCAGACGAAACTTGTTTTGGAAGGATTCGAAAGCCAAATGAAGCATGGTTAATACGGCGCTGCGCCAAATGCTACTGGATGTGGAATGCATTGATTGTGAGGGTTATTCACATGGGGACTTCAATCGGTGATCATCGAAAACCGAGCTCGGTTAAACCGGAAAACTACTTGACGATGAAGAGCAAAAGTACCGACGGTTACGAGGTCAAGTTGAGCTACACTAAGCCCAGTTTAAAATCAATAAGGGAAAGTGGGGCAGTTTGGCCACCTTAAGAAAATGATCACTAATCATACAACATTCAGTGGAAAATTCGAATGATGTTTAACCAAATGGATGGTTTCAAGCCCTATTTACAGCATGAATACAAATTGAATGTTAAAAGTAAGCTTTTGAATCTTATGCAAAAAGATTTGAAAAATGTTCGCTTTGTAACCGAAATTAAACCGTTGGGGTAAAATGAGCGACCTTGTAAACAACGGGTAAAAACATTACGTTCTCTTGAGGCGTTATGAAAGGTCAACAATGAACAGTTTTAGCTTAAAAATATTGAACAGAAACAATTATTTTCGGTAGAATCAATTAAATTTCAGAAGTACTGCCTATTTAAGGTTATGTTTTTTTCAGTCTTGTAAATGACTGATTTTTTACCAAAGCAGCTGTTTCAAAACTTGACAGTCATATTTATGAAAGGAATAATGCAGAATTGAAGAATTTAAATTGAAATATCAGTAGTTCTAATATGCCCCAAATGGACTTAATTAATATTTTGTTAAGAAAATCTTTAATATTTATTAAAATTTAGAAAACCATCGTGTCATATAAGAAACCAATGACAATTTATAAAGCTGCTGAAGGAATATCAACGATAAGTTATAAGAAACTACTGATTGACCTTATAACAGTTTTGACATCTTGAGCTAGTCTAACGTTTTTCGAATATTGGCTCTAAAGAAAAGTATTTTGTTAGACTTAAATAAAATGGATAATTGAAGCCTGCAACAGATTTTTGGTAAAATATGTTCAATTAGTTGGTGTTTAAGCCCCATTGGCCATATTGCCCCACTTTCTCCTACGTATTTATATAAAAAAAAAATCTCTAAAAGAAAGCGCTAAATTTATCCAGCCGTCCCCATGATGCCTAAAATACACTCTGTCAGTTGTGCAGATCAAATGGATATGTGTAATTGTTCATACATAAAGTGGGTAACCCGCTTTTATCGTGCACACTTACAACCGCTGTTGAGTTTGGTTTGCTCATCGGATTTGGAAAACATACGAAAGAGTAAAAGAGTCGACCAACACCCCGTAACGTGGGTAGATCACCTTTTCGTGGTACGTTACGGAATGTAAGATCTACCACCGATTCCTAGTCCTGACTACTTCAAACAGTAGGAACAGGATTTTTCAGTAACTAAAGGAACACATCTTAGTCCTTGTTACTTTTCTGATTTGTTGATAGTGACAAGACTCGGCTATGTCCACCGAGGATGATCTTGAAACAAGGAGTTAGTCTTCATCTATGTGATTCCTAATCTTCTATTCGTTGTTCCCTAGTTTGAAGTGGATAAGACTAGGGTTCTGATGCATGGTCATTATCGGTGTCATTCCTTAATTTTGTTGCTAAGGAATCCAATTTTGACTGACAAAGGGCCGCGCCTTTGGAGGGTGTTTCAACTTCAACACTCCGAAGGGTATAAATAGCGGGACTTTAGTTCAGACTACAGAGTTGTTGTTATAATGTTATAATAATTATCGACAAGAAAAATGTTATCAAGATAGGCTCATTAACATGTTATAACTGCTCAGTCTGGCCAGCATTTTAGAGAGGAAAACGGTCGCATGAACAAAGGGTCGACTTGAACTTAAAGACACAAAAGATTAAAATGGACAAAAGGTCGAATGGACAAATGGTCGAAATGGACAAAAAGTCGAAGTGGACAAAGTTCAAAAAACGAACATCATAGTTTACAAAATATTGTTTAGAAAATGTTCGCTCAGAATATAAAAGAAAAGTCCCAAAGAACTGCTTATGATTAAAGAAATAAAAGAGTGCTTTGATTCTCGAGGAATTTGCGTTTAAAGCCATAGTTTACGTTTGGTTGTTCCGCCTATTTAAATCGTTGATCTAAATTCGTCCACTACGACTTTTTGTCCACTACGACTTTTTGTTCATTCGACCTATTGTTCCTTCGACCATTTGTTGTTGATTCTTCGACGTTTTGTCTTTCGACCTACTGCCCTTCGACTTAATGTCATAACAACCCCATAAACTATGTAGTAGTAATGGGCGATTTTGAATCGAAACTCGGAATATCGATCTTTTTGGTTCGATTAATCGATTGGATCGTCCATTATCGTTAGGTTTTTTGTTCCGATTAAAACATAATAATAATTTAATGATACAGTATATTTGCTTTTTGCTTGTTGCACTCAAGCTCACTACCATTTTATTTGTCGCTGTGTATGGAACAATACGATGGGTGGCTTTTCATACTCTTCCAAGGTGTCTACTCATTTTACTAAATAGGACAACGGAAAATTTCCAGTTCTTGATGATTTTTTTTTAAAAGTGAATTCCTTGAAATGGTCCTTCTTTGAGTTCTCTAAAGATGATTATAGAAACAACCCTGAAATTATCCCTAGTATTCCTTTGATATTTACCTCAAAAATTCGTTGAAAATTTTCTCAAATATTCTTTGATTCTTACTCCTAAGAGTACTTTCGAATCATCATCGGAATTTTCATTGAACTATTTTCAGAATTCCCATTGGATTCTCCTTCTTTTCTTGGAATTCTACTTACAAGTACCACCTTGGAGTTCTCCATAGAATTCACTTTCAGTTCTTAGTCAGTTTTAGTCAGAACTCTCTTTGGAATTGTCTTGGAATGCTCCATAGAATTCTCTTGTAATTTTACTTTGAATCCTACTCAGGATTCTACTGGAATTCTACTCAGAACTACCTTGAAATTATCCTTACGTTTTAACTGGAGTCTGGAGTTCCTCAGAACTAATTTGATGCCACTTTCCTGAAAAATTATGATCTGATATTTTCCTGAGAATTCCCTTGAAATTATTCCCAGAGATGCTTGGAAGTTCCTATAAAATTCGAGCATAAAAGTTCATAAGCTTTAAAACTTTTGCAAGGTCCTACATTTATTTAAAATCGCGAAATAAGTCTGATTCCATATTGTGCTTTCATTTTTTAAATGAAAACAGCTTAACTTCAAGTTTTGCTGTCAACGTCTTGTTGAAAATTGAACTAACGATTATTGTTTAATTGTTTTGTTGAACGTATTTCAGGTTGTTCGTGACAACTTCGGGTGAGATTTGAACTCAAGTCTTTCAGCGAGAGAAGCATGCATGCTAACCATGTATGCCAGGCCCGTATTCAGTTAAATATTATTAATGCAGAATCAGTAATCAAATTGATTTCACTGAAAGCAGTTGCAGCAAGTTGCTCTCATTTTTGCTGTGTTAACCTTTAAGTCTACCAAAATGAGATCAACTAGAGCATAACAACAAATTTTGATTTCAATTTGATCTCCAGCTTTGCTCGGGTAGCTACCACTTCCATTGAAAACCTCAGTTTTGACAAAAAAAACTCAAATGGGACCGTCTCACGAAGAGCGGAAGTATAGTATAGGAATGTGACATTCAAATACGTAGTTTTCAAGGGTAGTCAGAAGAGAAGTGCAAGGAAATTCCAGGGGCAATCGTCGATAAATTTTACGGTGAGCCTCAAGGGAATCTATTGAACAATCCAAATGAATTCTGAGGAGAATTCAAAGGGAATTTTAGAAATGCTGAACTAAATTTCAAGTTCCTACGTATTCTGAAAAACAAAATCCCGAGGGGAATTTTTAGATAATTCTTATTGAAATTACAAGACAGTTCTAAGACGAACTACAAGTAAATTTCCAAAGCATAACTTTGAAAGAAAATAATTATGAAGTTACATTTAAGCGAATTCTCGCAAATGGTTGAGATTACAAAAAATAATTGAAAACCGAATTCTAAGAGTTTCCTGGAGGGCTGCTTCCTAAGGGGGTATTCAGCGACTGCAATGAACAAAAACTTCAAGGGAATGCCAGGGATAAGATTATTCATTTTGGGATGATTCTAAGGAAAATTCTGCCGAAAATTCCACAGATATCCAAGGAAGAGTTGTATTCTAGAAATCTAGAAATTATCTAGTTAACATTAAAACATTAGATTTTTTTCCAGATTCTGAACACAGAAATCAAAGATCCAGGATTTAGTGAAACTTTTGACATTCTGAAACTTCAACAGTTCTAAAGATTCCTTACTTACAAAACAAAAAATAAATCCCGGTCTAAGAAAACTCCTCAAAATACAAGTCTGACAAGCACGACACGAGTTGGATCCCATTATAAGGCTGATCGGTAGAACCATCTCAGAACTTTGAAAAAGTTTTGAGACTCCGAAGTTCCTGAGATGTTTTTTAAAATAATTCTCAAACCCAGCCTGGGCCACCCACATGAGATTCGTTTGCGAAGCGTTGACGTAAATTTGACAGTTAGATAATAGATTTAGCTGTCACTTTGCTGCAACGCATCAGATCGAACAGTACAAATCTTTGCATCCACGAAACGGGAAACAACTGATGACTCTTCCGGACTCTTCGGGAAATAATTTAGTCCCAAGACCAGAACAGCATTAAGTTGAATTCATGAAAGTTATTCATCAGAATGTTTATTTTTAACTTCTGGAGAATGATGTATAAATTATATAATAGTTTAACCACATCGTTTTACGACTACCTTCGGGAGATTCTTTTGACCTAGAAGATATCTTCGAATTCTCGCAGAATCTTCCAAATTTCCTATTAATTTTCATCTGATTTCATCCACGATAGCTTATTTTGACTTCTGTTGGAAGGTTCATCCAACTTCGCCAGCAAATGTTTTAAAATATTCAATGGATGTTTCTATTGAATCTAGTTAAAAACGAGAATCGTGAGAATTTTTTTTGACAACCACGAGGTTTCTTCCGACTTTCAATAAGTCCTTTTGGCGGAACATTTTTCTGACCTCCCCCGGAAATTTCTTCTGACTTCCCTTGGAAAACTCTTCCGACATTTTCTGGAACATTTTTTTCCGAATGCCCTTAGAAGATCTTCAGATTCATCTTAAAGTTTCTTAAAATTTAATCCTTCAAAAATGTGTCAGTGGAATCAATCTGGAAGTTGGAACAGATTCCCGGGAATCGGGAAACGTGATTCTTGGAAAATTTCCCGGGTAGCAAACACTAGTTGGAATGTATATTGGGAATAATCAGGGCGAACCCCGGACTCTCGGATCGTGATGTCGCCAGAAAATACGGTGCCAGCCGCAGTATCGTCCGGAGGATTTGTTTGCGAGAAGCAAGCACCCAAACAGTAAATTAGCGAAACTTGAAACTTCTTGGGAGATCGAACCGCATGACGACTACAAATAGCTGGAAGGTGTCCAAAAGAAGAAACTGGAGTTTGAGAATCGTTCTATGATGCTACATCGTTCTCGATGCAGATGGCTCAGAAGTTTCAGCACGAGTCTTCACTAAACCAATCACACTCAACGGAGTACTGACATCACTCTGTATGGTGCAATGGACCGCGTACGACTTCCGCAAATCATACTCCAGACTTTCAATGGTAGCATCAAAGATTGACTGAGCTTCAGGGACACTCTACACGTCTCTGATCCAGGGGGCGACTCCGGCGTAATGGTTAGCATCCATACCTCTCACGCCAAAGTCACGAGTTCAAATCTCATCCCCGGACAAGTCACGAATGACCCAAGAGCGTTAAAGGGACTATAACAAAAAAAAAAAAACGTCTTTGATCCATCAAAAGGCATATCTTCTGGAAGTGGAGAAATGCCACTGTCTCAAGGGTTGCTTCGGGAGATGAGGCGACCAAATAGTGGAATTGAGGATTCAGTAGGTTACGTCCTTAAAGACTGGATTTAAAAATTACCCATCTAAAGGTTGCAAAGATCTCCTACAAAACATGTCAAGACCATTTTGAGCAGCATTCCATATCGGTTGAAGGTTTCAAGAATCTTTCTGAACTTCACTACGTTACGAGTTTAGCGGTCTTTGTTTCTTTTCTAGGTTGGACATAATATTGGACAAAGTTGTACTTAAATTCTGTTTTTTTTTCATGCAACAAAAAGGACTCGGTAAATTTCACTCGATTCCACATCGAATTGAATTTGCAAAACGGGACCAATTTTAAGCATTATTCAGCTACATTCGACATGAATATGGATGGTACTTTAGCAATGAAACTGTCCCACCATGATAGTGTTATTGCAATGCGTCCAAATGGGTGGTTATTAAAATGCATCCAATAGTTTGCGTAAATTTGCATGCTTTGCTGCTGCAGCTCTAGCTTCTGCTATCATCCTACAAGTGTTTATCTTTCTAATTAGTAAATGTGCATTGTCTGTTATCAACATTCCATCAAAGCAGCAGTGATCGTGATCGAATCTTCCGATGAATGTTAAAACTGCGACGTCGGCACAACGCAGAGAAACGTTAAGTTATTGTATTAGGATTGCACAAAAGTTGCGCTGGCTGACTTCGACGGGCATCCACGAACTTAGAACATAAAACACACACACACACACACACACACGATACGTGGTAGGAAGTAGTAATAATGTGGCTTGCAAGATTAGAGTAGGTACACAATGATCACAGAGAGATCGGAACACGTGGGCATGACTATAGTTGGTTGCGTAGTGAAGAGTAAATAGCGGTTGGTAGTTTGGTAGTAAGTTGCCAATATTAGCACTAAATGTGTGTTTTATGGGGGTAGTAACGCGGATAGAGAGTAAGAGACGATATTTTTGTGATGACACATCAGATACGGACGAACGAGCGAACGAACGAGCGCGCACAGCAGCAGCAGAGCAGCAGCACAGGGTATGTGTGATACTCGGAGTGGTGTGTAGCTTTTTTTTGGACAAGAAATTAACTAAACTTACCATAGTCTACGAAGGAAGTGGTTGCCAGTCCGGGATTGGACGTGAGCGAGGACGCCGCCTGCGGGGAAGTGTTCAGTAGCCTTTTCTTGTCGTTTGGGTTGTAGGGAATATCGATGATGGTGGTGGCAGCGGACCGTCCGAGCGTGCCGGTACTGCCGACGAGACTGACTCCGCCGATAGCTCCTACGCTGCCGCTGACTGCCGGAATGCTAATCGCCGATGAGGTAAGGGAAGCTGATTGTAACGACTGCAGCGAGCTGGAATTGCCGTGGTGTGATGCAACCAGCGAATTGCAGGTAGAGGTTGTTACTAGAGACGATGCTTGCTGATCCGCGTACGCGTACGCGATGTTCAGTACTTTGTTTATATGGCTATTTTGACAGTTGCTCGACGTGGAAGGACTGCTGGTAGTGGTGATCGTTGCCACGTTGGGCGAGGGTGGAAGCAACCGTCGGAACCAGAAATGATTCAGCGCCGCTTCCGGGGTCATCCGTAACGCCGGATCCCACCGTAGGCAACGTTCGATAAAGTTCAGAAACAGCGGGTCGTCGCAACCGTTCAGTGCTTTTACCAAACTACGAGATCCAGGTGGTCCTCTCAGTTTTCCCCGCCGGGAAAAGCCACCCGTTAGCACAGTGGTACCATCTTCCAGGGTTTTCACATTACAATACCGTGGATAACCTTTGGCCGAGATGAAGTTCTTCGCTCGTTTCGAGTTTTCCAGGATCTTCTTCGGTGGCATACCGATCACCTCGATAATACAAGCCAACTGATCCGCTTCGTCTTCCCCAGGAAGAAGCGCGAAACCGGTAAACAGTTCCGCCAGAATACAACCCAGCGACCACATGTCGATCGCCATGTCGTACTTTGCACCCAGAATCACCTCCGGTGCCCGGTAGAACCTCGACTGGATGTAGGTGTAGACCCGTTGGTGATCGAAACAGGACGAGCCGAAATCGATCACTTTGATACCGGAACGTCCCTGCTGCTTCAGCAGCACGTTCTCCGGTTTCATATCACAATGGATAATCTTATTCTTATACAGTGCATCCAAGCACTTTAACAGAGAGTGAGCAAACTTCCGAACCAGCTGTAAGCTGAACCCCTGGAATTTATTTTTCTTTATCAACTCGTACAGGTTGATGTACAGCAGTTCGAACGTTATACACATGTGGTTACGAAAGACAAAGTAGTCGTACATGTGGATAATGTTCATCGAGTTCATCCGATCCTGCGATCGTAGGTGCTTGAGAATCCGAATTTCCTCCTGGGCTTGCCGGTGGAATCGTTTCTCATTGCGGACCATCTTCAGTGCCACATGCATGTGGTTTTTGTGATCGTACGCTTTCACCACTTGACCGAAGCTACCTTTGCCGATGATCTTCAGCACCTCATACTTGTAGGCGATATGATCGTGCGCTATGTGAATGTACGATCCCTGTTCGTTATCGTACTCGGAATTACTGGTGCCTCTCCGCTTCTTGGCGTTTGCTCCGATGAAGTAAATCTTCGGGTACTGGTAGATCTCGTGGTGCTCGTACTGGGTCAGTTTGTCCATGTACAGCATCATCACCTCCTGGGGTGTCTTGTACTTGGCCCGTTCGTACTCTTCTCCGGTACCACTGGCTCCGCTTCCGACACCGCTGCTACTGCTACCACTGCTTAGCTTGTCACTTGACAGTGTTTTATTATTGCTATTGTTGTCGTTATTGTAAAGACTACTGCTACTGCTATTGCTCTGATAGTTGTTGTTCTGCTGCTGTTGAGCCGCCGCCGCAGCTGCAGCCGCAAACAGAGCACTCGACGGATTGCTCACAGCGGCCGTCGAGAGCAGATTCGAAGCGGCCACGGCTGCTGCCGTCGTGGCCGAAGCCAGCTGCGACGGGGTCATCGTTATCGATTTGTCCGACATGAGCGCCACGGCCGACGATGAGGACGACGCTGCAGCCGCAATGCAACCGTTCGCATCTCCACCGGACGTCGTTGTCGTCGTTTTGAACGTTATACTAGTCATGTTGTGTAGTACCTAGCAGTTGTGTTGTTCTAGTTGATTGAGCGTGCCTTCGACTCTCTCTCTCTCTCTCTTTCTTTTTCCTAAAATGTTCCCATTCAGGTAATTATTATTATTCGTACTGCCTAAAAACTAGATATCACAAAGGATCCTCAAACACGGATGTTAAGTAGCATGGTTTCTTGTGCTCCTGCCAACAAGAACTATGTCGCTGCGCTGATATAACACACAATCACCTCGATCTCGATTCCGGAGGCCAACCCGCCAGCAGCATGCATTCGAGACGAGTCGATCGGCGTCTTCTTTCTCCTCCGATCCGATCCAATCCGATTCAATCAATCTTTCTATCTTCACCAGGCTGTTGTGTTCAGTTGTTGTGTAAAGACGTGAAAGCCAACATCTGCAAAGAGGGAGAGGGATAGAAATGTGAAAAGAGCACATTAATGAACAAATAAATATCCAAATTTTCGATCTGCACGGTTTGCGGTTACTATCAATATCAATATATCTGGTATCTACTACATTATTTACTTTCACAATCATCATTCATTGACACTGGACGGGGGCAGAGTCGGAGAGCAGAGTCGAAACGACTGCTAAAGTGCGATCGTTTGACCGAGTGGCAAAAAAAAAGTGTGAACAAACGATTGATCGTTCCTCGCCGGTTGTAAATGGGAAAATTTAGCGCCAAATTAAGGTGGTGACTTTATTAATTAATAGCCGGAGTGCCAAACTGGATTTTTGAAATTTGAGGAGGTCATCCGAAGACCTTATTATCACGGCCAATTACGTAGGGTAGGGTGGGGCAAAAGCGCAAGTTTCAATAAGTTTGTAAATTATTATGAAACATTCAGTCGGTAAAGGCGCAGCTACAAAGCAAGACCATTCTGGAGGTGGCTGGGATCGAATACTTGCCACACAATAATACTAATGCAAAATTGGTACAGGCATCGAAAGCTTTCAATTAATAACTATGGAAGTGCATCTAGAACACTAGGTTTAGAGCACGCAATAAGCTATTATGCGATAAGCATTAAGTTTGAAAAAGATCAATGGCAATGCAACGCTCCCATAAAAATTCAAAGACATCGAACCGTTAGTTCTAGACGCTAGAACGACTTCAAACCTCAATCTGACAACCCATAACGGGATGAGGTTATTTGCGCAAATCCAATCACCAGGGGCACCTTCCCGGCGACCATTAACCAAGTAAATCCACCCGATAATCCCAAAGGGAAAACATATTGCCCCGAAATCAAATTTAACACTCATAATTGAATATCGCATCGAAAATTACCGCGACCACACAAGCAAGCAAGCAGCAAATCTCCTTTTCGCACGATACCGAAAATCAGCTAACCCGCATGCAGTCGAAGAAAGGGCCTGGGGAGGAGAAGAGACTGGATTTTGCAATACCCAAACAACAAACGAAAAAGGCTGCTCCTGTCTGCCACCAGCCCAGCCCGGCCCAGTCTCAAAAGCAGCCAGCGAGTGTGGCATGTGCTGCACACGTTTGATGTGGAATCGATATTCAATCGATTCATGCAAACCGCGCGGTCGTGTCCCGTTTCTTTCGCCAGTCTTATGCTCCTTGCACAAAGCTCAGTTCCGTAGGCCCTCATCGTCGTCGTCATCACTTGTTTCGTGCTTTCAATCGAGGCATCAGGTCTTGGCACTATTTTGCATGGTGGTGTGTTGACCAAAGCTGGGCTGCTACCTGGCAAGAGTTCATCATCGTCGTAGAGCTAGATATGCTTCTTTGACCGCGCTGACGTTTGCTGCTTATAATTTTTTGATGAGGCAGAACCCAAATCGCACCTCCCTTCTCCGTATCCATTTTGGGCATCAGAGCTCGGGAGAGTACCAACTTATGTGATGTGGCTTTGACCGGCTGCCTCATTCATAACAGAAGGACGTGTGATGGGTTTGGTCGCCCCCTCTTGTGCGTTTTGCGGTTTGATGTGTAGTTGGATTATTTTTATTTTCGACAGTTTTACCACTGTCATTAAATCCCTTTCACGGAACGGACAGAACCGGGCGGGGAGCGGACGACAGGTTGGAATCGATTTCAAAACCTATTAATAGAGTACTGTGTAGTAGTAGCAGGAAACATGTCAATCTCTGATACCCGAGGACCTGGGGGTGCATGGTTTGAATTTGCATTACTGCCAGAAGCTGAACTTCGGTTTTCTTTATGGCTTATAGCATTTTATGTATTCTTGAGAATTAAACTTAGCAACAATTAACAAACAATTTAAATACTATTGATTTTAAACAAAAACTTTTATTAATGGATTCAGAGCTTAGATTCTAATAACTTCCGAAAAACTGCAGGAACTTTAAAGAAGTTCCTAGAATTTCAGAGACCTACACCGGTGTCAATAGAAGTTCAGAAATACAGAGAACTTGTGGAAAATTTTAGAAACTTTTATGAAGTTCTAAGAACATCAGGAAAGCTAAATGGGGAATTTCAGAGATCTTAAGGGCAGTTTCCGCAATGATGTTTGAAAGCATCAGGAGAGATGTAAGGTGTGTGAAAGAGCTCGCACGGTCGGTGTTGATGTTGGTTCGCTCGCAACTATTTTTGCAAAAAAATCAAGTGTTTTCGACCAAAATTGATGCCGAAAGTGTACCAAAAGTGCTTCTGAACGTGTTTCGCAGTTGAGTGTGGTCAAATTCGTGCATTCCCGGTTTGTTTTTCAGTAGAAATCCATATCACAAAGATGCTGTACGGGTGTGTTTTTTGTACCCAGCGGTGTGTAAGTGTGCTTGTGATTTTCATTGCCTCCCGGGAGGCCGGTACAGCGTGTTCAGATGTCACGCTTTCGGCGTGTAGTTCTATCGAGAGTCTCGTCACCGTGTGCTAGTTTGAACACGGTCCGGTTGGTAATTTTGCCGGGGAAAGTGCCGATAATGTGTCCGTCGCGAGTTTTGGTGGTGATTTGGTGGTCGACGTTGCCGTGAATCAGCGAGTTTACGGCTTGCAAAAGTGCTCGTATGCTGGTCTTTCGCCAGTGTCGGAGATTGTGAGCAAGCTGAAGGATGCCTCGCTGGATACGCTCAAGACTGGATGGGTGGTAGCTGGTGATCGCGAACGGTTCCTGGGGAAAGCACTAGACGCGAACCTCCTCCCAGGTGACCATGGCAATGCAAGAAAATTTGTTTTCGTTGAAGGAAGTATTACAACAAAGGTAATTGCTATTACAGGGCTGGTAGCGGTTACTGCTGTTAAAAATAGTGATTTTAGTGACCATGTTGAAGAAATAAGTAACCAAATAGTGACTTATAGTTGTAAAATAGTGACTAAAAAGTGACCTAAGAGAAGAAAAGTAGTCGTTATGATGGCACACTAAATAAATGTTTGATGTTTTAGCCTTATTTAATTAGTATCTCATAAACACTTATGTACGATATGAACCTATGAAGCGAAAGATTCAATAGAAAGTTTATGGTCAAAACCTACGGTATTAGTCAGGGTGTCTACTAACTGCAAAAACCTGGACAACCGGGGATCCTCATGAAATTTTATTTTTCCTTAAAATACCAGGAAGTCTCAGAGAATGTAATAATTTTCTTACTAAGAATATTTAAAAAAAAAAGAATTAATTTTTAAATACAAGCATTAAATTTTTCTCGTAATTTTCATTTACCCTTTGAACTTTATAGATGCACAGTGGATTACTCTTCAGCAACAAAAAAAAAAATTAAAAAAAATCATAGGCTTGATATGTTTTTTTATTTTTATTTTGGGACATGCATATTTTCTAAAAAATAAAAAATTGAACTAGTTCTGAACTTAAAAGCTATAATACTACAAGAAATTTTCAAGAATCTGGAGTCAAATTCCAAGTACAGTTTTAAAAGCTCGTGGAATTTTATTATAATTTCTAAGAATCTCATTCTAAGGGAGTTCTGGAAAAGAAAAATCTTTCAGAAAAACATTATACTTCTGAGTATTTCTGAGAAATTTTAGATTTCATGTGAAGCCTGATAGTTTTGAGTTGAATTAAAAGTAAATTTTAATGAAAACTCTTAGAAGATTATGAGGAGCACAACTCCTGTGAACTTCAGGGGAAAATTCTAATGACATTCTGATTAATTTTATAAAGTTTGCGGGGAAAACGAATCCAGAGCATAAGTCCTTGGTAATTTTTGAAAATAATAAAAGGAGGAATACTATAAACTCTGAGAATAACTCCAGGACATCTTCAAAAAAAATCGGAAAATAAATTCAGGAGCGTTTTCTAAACAAATTATGAGAAGAAATCTAAGAAATTTGTGAGGAGACATGCCAATGAATTCTTATGAGACTTTCAATGTGAGTAGAATTCCAAGGAAAGGCGTGAGATGCAAAAGGAAATCTGAAATAAATTTAATAAGTGTTTGGAGAATTTTAAGGTAATTCCGAGGAAAACTAAAAGAAAATTTAATTCGTAGGATATGTTCATCGAAATTTTGAGGAATATTTCAATGGAAATCTCCATTGAATATGGAATGGACTATTCTGAGGTCTTCAAACCTACTTGAAAGTTCCACAAATTTTCCCGAAGCTTCTGAAACTGCCTTGAAGTCCATTTGTAGTTTGAGAGACTAGCCTGATGCTCACAATACTTCTCATCAAATTCTTAAACTTCAGTGAACTTTGTAGGACTTCTTATAGTTTCCTCAATTTTTCTAACGATCATGGTTTAAAAATTCGCTGAAGTTCTCTAAACTTCATTAAAATTTATGTGACTTCTCTATTGTTAACGGACCTGAGGTTCTCTGTTCTTTTCTGAGATTCTCTAAAATTTTTGAAGTTCTCATGAAGCTTATTGTACTGCGCTGAATTTAATTAAACCGTCCTAAAAATGTTTAAGCTTCCGTGAACTTCTGAACTTATGCAAAGATCTCAATTAACTTTTTAACGTCTCTGAAGTTATCTGAAAATCTGGGAACTGTTTTAATTTTCCCACTGATTTCCAGAAACTAATGGAACTGACCTCCCTCTGAAATTCCTTCAATTTTCAAAGCTTACTAAACTTCTGTCAAATGCTCCCGCATTTTGCTCATGTTCAAAACAATTCTTGAAGTTCGCGGATGTTCCCTTAAGGTCCATATATTTCTGTGAAGTTCTCGGAATGTTTCTGAAGACTGGAATTATAACGAAATAGTTCTATGATTTTCACTGAAGTTCTCAAGATTTTTCTGAAGTTCATGAAACTTCCCTTAAATTAGCGACATTTATTTAAAACTTCTTCAATAGTCTAATAGTAATAATAATAATGTTTAATAAGCTGGTAAATTTTCTAATCTATATATTCATAACTCCCTGACACTTCTGACGTTTTTGGATCAATCATAGAATTCTTGGAATACCCCATAATTCCACGGAGTCGCTGCAAATTTGCTTAAGATAAT